AAGACTAGAGGGAGGGCAGCTAGTCATCACCAACTCTTGGGCTACTATTTTACCAACGAATAGTGGGATTGACCGTCACATTATAACTCCACCACGGCTGAAAGGGCGAGCATGTTTGTTGTGAGAGGAATTCGAACCCGCGACCCTCAGATTGCTAGTCGAGGCCTTAACCACCTGGCCATGCCGGGCCATGTGTTTCTAGTAATGTCTTCATCCCTTTTTTTTTTAATTGCCATTGAATTGAATACTGATTTGATAGAAATGTGTCATTTTAATACTAGTAATAAAAGTATTAAACGACCTTATAACATCACATTTGTTATTTTTCTTTAATTGAACATTCAATGTTTCACTTCACAGCTTCTTCAGGAGGGTTCCACTAAAACACAAACGGTGGAACGCTCCTGAAGAAGCTGTGAAGTGAAACATTGAGTGTCGTGTTAAAGAAAAATAAATTTGGTGTTATAAGATCATTACTACTATTAAAATGTTTTTATACACCATTATATACTACTGAAATTAAATAATGAGAAATATGCCACTATTGCCTTTTAGTTTATGATAGAAAAGTTATCGTTGTTCATTTATTTATCGCTACTTAATTATTGTGTTAGGCAAAGTGTACTGTTGTTGATCAGTCTATGCTAATTTAATCGTCACTCTTCATTACATGAAAAAATATCCTTTTTTATCAATATCTTGCTCTGTTTCCAATTCTACCTGGTTATCTTTTCTCTTTGTTTTCAGTTATGTTTTCCTGCTGTTTGTATGCCAACAGCTTTATTTGATATTTAGCTCTATATACCGACATAGAAGAAAGTCAACTAAAATTATTTTGTACTAAGAACAGTAAAGGTTACATGTATACACATCACCTTAGGTTAACTCAAATTATTACAAAATACTTGCGTTACTTGTAATGCCACTAGTATACTACTTATTATAATATAAAGACATTATCTTATTTTAATTTATCAAACGAACATGGCTTCGTGGTTAGCGTATAAGACCGGGGATTCGAGGGTCCTCGGTTCGATGCAACAATTTCAGTGATGGATGCGTTAGGTTAATAAAAGTCACTTCAGCTGGCGGGTCCTGCTAACTGGTTCCCTTACGTCTGGTTCGCATTTCTAAATGTTTGCTATTTATCAAACTACGTATTTAAGGTGTCGTTCAGGTGAACGAACACATTTCTAAATTGTTAAGGGTATTCAATGTCACGAGCACATTTAACTCACTTAAGCATCTTGTTGTCGCATGACCTAAACCTTTTACTCTACCACTAGAAGCATTAAATATTTTAGGCAATAACCATACCAGTATATTGAAAATCCTTATAACTGGAAATATCTTGCTTTAATTATGTTTACTTTTCAATTCATTGAGTGTGTGTAAATATAACTTGGGCCAGAAAGTTGTAATCTGAAACGCAGATAGACCAATAATAGGATAGGTTAAATAACATTTTTATTGTTTTTTGTATTTTACACAGAACTTCTTTAATAGCTACATTAAGCCTAATAAAGTTAAGCTTTATCAAATTATTGATATAACAGAAACTAAAAGATTTCGCTTTCTGAAGAAGTGTAACACTGACATGTGTTTTTGTTATTTTTGAGAAAAGAACTTGGGGGTGGGGGACTGAAGAAAGTGCAAAACTAAAACCTCTACATTAGAAAGTTTAGTAGATAAATCTAACATTAATGAATAAACTATAAAACTCAAACTTCTGTTTAAGAATATAATAGAGAAAAAGTTGACACTATTGAAAAAGTCGTATGAAACTTATTCGTGACTTAACCGAACTAAAATCCTTAAAATCAAATCCAATAGTTCTCTTTTTTTAGTTTTAATTATTGTATTTCTTAGACTTGAGAGTAAGAAGTCCAAAACCAACACAAACAATAAAACTGATTTTCGTAAAACCACAAAATTGGTCGTTAAATATTAAAACTGATTTTCTTATAATCACAAAATTGGTCATAAACACTGAAACTGATTTTCGTACAATCACAAAATTGATTGTCAGATATTGAGAGGGTCGGTTGCTATTTTTAGGTGTAAATTTGGATATTCAGGGCAAACAACGATCAGAGGTGTTTTAATAAGAGCAGTAACAGGAAAGGTGCACAAGATGACCTTTACGAAATGTTTTAACAAAAGAAACCCTGCATAAACTTCATTAACATCTGAATGATAATTGCCAATACAACAGCACCTTTTGCTCTCGAAGAAGCGACTTTCTCCTTTTCACTTCTAATTTTCTTTGAAAACTATATTTGACCCCCCCCCTTTTTTTTCCATGATAACTTCCAATAGATATACTACTTCACATTCACTCTACTTATTGCAAAAGAAACACCTTTTCATTTGCAGATGATTGTATTAGGAAGCATAGCATTGTCTCATGGTGTTACTAAGGTGTTCTACATTTGTTTAATACCCGTTAAAACGGAAATAGAAAAAAAATGCAATTGACATTTGGTCAGAAAGAAGGAAAATATTGGCTAAAAGAAGGGGAATATTGAACAACATTCCAGTGAAAAATTTAGACAGTTCATCCTTACAAAATGGAAAACCCTAACCCACAACTATCGTTCTAATGTATTTGTAATAAATTCGAAAAATGTTTGGATGCTACCTACTCCAGATTTATCACTGACTGTATGGCAGAAAAACATTGAGTTAAACAATAAAAGTTAATGAAGAGAGACTTGTGGTAAAACGCACATTCTGTACTCGTTGCAGGTTACTTTGTGTTGTGTCAATAATAGTCTGTCATGGGATGTGCTGTAACAAAAAGTGCTGTTTCTGTCAGTAAACCAAAAGATGGAGTTAGAGTGAATGATTCTCCAGTTCCTCCTTTTGCTGATCCTCGTCTCCCCCTCACAACTAAACAACGGTTCAATATCCTCACTTCCTGGAAAGGAATAGCTCGAGCCATGGAATCCACTGGTGTAAGCATGTTCATCAAGTAAGACCCATGTTTCTATAAGTTTCTGTAATAAACATTTTGTTTCATATAGTAGAACAACAAAAGTTAAAAACGTTTTTTGTTGTTTCTTTTTTAAGCCGTGGCATAGCGGCTCATAGAACGGCTTTTAGTTTGTTTGTTTTGTTTTTATAAGTACACACTTTTAGCTCATAGCTCTGTCATCTCTTGACCGATTTGAGATCTAATTACAGTTTTAGACTCAGGAGGTCAAACACTTTCTATTGATGTATTTGACCACGCCCAAGGTCTCATAGATTAATTTATTCTAATCCTGTCTAAAGAATTTCAATTTGATGGTAGGCAGGTAGAGATCTTGATGAATAATAAAATCGAATCGAGTATATGCAAACCCCCACGCTTGGTATTGTTGGCACACAAAATTAATGCTAATAAAAAGGAAAAAAAAAAGATATCGTAGATTAATATACTCTAATCCTGCCGAAAATAATTTCAATTGCTGCGGCTATTGAGGATTCCCTCTTGTTTTAAAAGTTGTAGTATATTCAGCTCTGTCAGCAATAAGTTACAATAGTTGATTAACGTCGTTTAGTAAGTCCTTATTGCTGTATTAGGTCCAAAGTTGTAATGTATTCAGTAGTGTAACCATTCATTGCTGCGTTAGGTCCAAAGCTGTATTCAGAACTGTAAGCGAATAAATCTCGCATAATTTTTACGAGAACAGTATTCTTTTAAAAATCGATGTTTCTTTAGATAAAGAAAATTCACGTAATCTATTCGTTTGTTCAAGTCTGCATCCAAGAGAAAATTGTTAATTTATAGCTGAAGGATACACATTATATTTGATAGTGAGATCAGTGATCAGTATAGGATTAAAGCATTGCAATGGTACATTTATAAAAATACGCAGAATATATTTGTTAGTTTTGATTCTTTTTCTCGTCAAAAGTACTTTTGAGGTTTGGAAAGTCTCGACTGGGCCTAAATTTTAGGGAGAGGTGGTTAAGGCACTCGACTCGCAATCTGAGGGTCGCAGGTTCGAATTTCCGACCCACCAAACATGCTCGTCCTTTCAGCCGTGGGGGTGTTATAATGTAACGGTCAATCCCATTATTCGCTGGTAAAAGAGTAGCCCAAGAGTTGGCGGTGGGTTGTAATGATTAGCTGCCTTCCCTCTAGGCTTACACTGCTAAATTAGGGACGGCTAGCGCAGATAGCCTTCGTGTAGCTTTGCGCGAAATTCAAAACAATCAAATCCTAAAGTTTATTTTTTATTTCTGGAAGCGTCGCAGACATGAACTAACAGTATCAGTAATAACAAATACTTTTAATTATAATAAATACAAACTTTAGTTTCGTTACATTCTTCTGTACCCTCCCTTTTTTTACTTCCTGATCATACTAAGTTTCAAGACTATATCACACATAACCATCAGTCACATTCTCTTGTATCCTTCCTTTTATTTTATTTACTAATTATACTAATTTTTCAAAGTGTGTTACCCTTGGTTAGTCTCCCTGTAATTTCCTTTTTTTTTACCTCCTAATCAGACTAAGGTTTCAGACTATATCACACATAACTATAGTCTGTTTCAGGAAAATGTTGACCTTCTGAACCTGTTCAGTAAGTTCCAGTCTCTGAGCACCCAAGAATCACAGAAAGACAGCATGGAGCTTGCTTTTCATGCGTCTGTCGTTATGGCAACCTTGGACGAAGGATTGCGTGCTTTGGATCGAGTTGACTACTTTTTGGATTATTTAGGATCTGTAGGACGGTTTCACAGGAAGATAAATGGTTTCAAGAAGGAGTACTTCTGGGTAATTTTGGTGATTCGTTTTCACAGTTTGTTACGTAGATTATCCATGTAATATGTACATGAAACTTAAGCAAGGAAGAACTTGCATGATAAATACATATGTATGTTTCATACTATTTTGAACATTATTCGGAAGATATTTAGCCTACATATATAACTTTTGACTCATTTAGCGTATACGAACTAAATCATTTGACTCTACTACTCAAATCACTCGTGTGATTTCAGTTTTCATGATGATTGTTTTTATCAGTTTTGAATAAGAAATTTCTGAGAAATATGAGCAAAATTTGAACTAAACAGACTGCTTAGGTAATTTTACATTTTAACATTCAACTAATTCAGTATGGCTGTTATATTTTCTTCTCTTTCCATTTCTGTGTATATTGGTGAATAGATTTCAGCAATCCATTTTCACACATGGTTTTAGTTTTATCCTCGATTTTGTTGCATATTTTGATTTAATTATTATTCTCTAATTCAGAAAAACACATTCATGCGCATCTTGTTTATTCAACTCGTAATAAACACTACTAAAATCAACTTATTTTATTAATGTGTCAATTTTGGTATAATTTGATCTGTCGTATGTATATAATAATGTTACATATCTGCTTGTTTGTTTCCCGTAGAAATTCTTTCCGAGGATTTTCAGCAATACAAGTCTTTTCTTGATTAAACCAGTTTATTCTTCCTCGATACAAATTTTAGTACACATTAGTTCCACAATCAGTACGCTTCTCGTCACTTTAAACTTAACAACTTTTATAATATACGCTGTAAATTACAGCGATTCACAATTTCGATAACTTCGCTCTCGACGAGTGCGCAACACACACTTTACGGCTCACTAGCTCGAAACTAACAGAATTATAAATTACGCGGAACTCAAAGTAACTACTGCTTTCTCTTTGTTCATATATATCTCGCTGGCTTTCCTCTGCCAGGCTTATATACTAACGAAGAGGGCATCTCGAACACACTCGGACTTCCCCGATCATTCGAAAAACTCATCACGCACGCTGCCAGCGCCAACAGAGTCACGTGACTTCCGCTGTCGTAACAATAATTATAATTTTTAAGTTAATTTTTAAAGCTGTAGTAAAGTTATCTCAGGATTGGCTCTTTAGAACTCGGTGACTAGTTTTTTATGTAAAGTATATGGAAATTGACATAGCTTCCTTTTTTTACCGCTGGAGAAGAAACTCTTGGGTGGTAAAACAGTAATACCAGATTTTATAAACACCAAAACAGAATAAGAAATAACTTGTTTTCGTCAAAGTGTTCAGCAATGACAGAAACACGGTATCGTTTTAATTAGAAGTCTTTTGTTTCGTTTACAGGAAAGAACAGTGATGTAACGAGGGAATAACTTTTTGATGTATTTCTTAATGATAATTAGCTTTATATTAATATATATTTCCTTTCCTTTTTCTAAAGAAAACTTCAGATGTCTTGTTACTTAAAAAGTACTTTAAGGTTTGAAAGATGTATTACTATTTTTTGAAATCCTTATGATCTCAAGTAAAGTTCGATTTTTATTTATTTACTTGTTATTTATGTGTGCGTGTGCAGAAGATCGAACAACCTTTCCTGGTTGCTGTCCAGGAGACTCTAGGAGATCGATACACTTCCAACATGGAGAACATCTACAAGATAACCATCCACTTCATCTTGGAAAGTATTGTTAAAGGTTATAACCTTTCTGAAGAACCCAGAAGTGATTCTAATGTAACTGAAAATTATTCGTAAATTTTACACGTGTGTTAATTTATTAAAAGCATTACAGCCTTAATGTCATTCCATCGGGAGCATATAATTGTATTTGTTTCATACATCTTAGGCTTACGTAACAAAGTAGAACATACTTTTGGGCAAAGAGCATTAAGTTATCAAGAATTTTATATAAATTTTGTCCCTAGATTAGCAGTTACTTCACCTTGTTTGTTAGCTGTTGTTCATGGGTCATTTCACTTCACAAAGGAGCAGAAGATAAAACATAAGTATTGGCTGTAGCTTAACCGTTAATCATAGTGAAAATAAATTACTAAACGGTATTTAATACTAATAGCATGTACAGTAACCAGACTGTCATATCAATAACATATCTTGAAATGTCGTTAAGTTTAGCCTATATCGAATGTCAGTTCCTTCATTGTAAAAAGGGTCTCTCGATAGGACGTTTTTAAACGTTAAGGGTAAATAAAATATGTTATGAACCAATCGTCTTCAAGTTGAGTAAGTTTGAAAACACGTAAAGTTTTATTCTCATTATTAACTATATGTGTACCAGAAAAGGATTAACCTCTGGTAAACTAGACTGGAATATTGTTTTAGAATTGACAGTTAACACGCTCATCATGCGCCGAAATCCAGACACGATTTGTAAAACTGTTATAATTAACATAATCTATTTGCTTGCCGTGGCCATAAGGTACTGTCTTGTCTTTCTAGATTACAGTAACTAAATAAATAGGTAATAAAACCCTGTAAAACAGTTTCATTCGTCTTATTCTCTTGTCCCGTGAAAAAAACTTTATCTTGAAAATGTTGCTTCTGTTTATTTATTTGACAAATAGATGAGAACTATAAAAAACTTTTATTTTAAAAGTTCTTCCTCAGTCTGCAATATGCACTTTTTGGTTAGGGTCAAATAAAATGTTTCATACGGTAGAATATCAGGCAGGCTCTGCTTATGTAGGAATGGCTCGGATTGTTCATCTAAATAGTATTTTAAATATCTATTCAATAAGTCACCAGAACTTTATAATACTATACAGTATTTCTCTTTTATAACAATATCTATGTAATGAATGATTCACAAGTTCTGGGAATGTCTGTAAATATTGTTACGTCTCCGTTTGTTAATTAACTTTCCGTAACTTCG